GCTCGGGCTTATTACTGAAAACCAGATCTATTTTAGTTTTAGAGTGTCTTGTTATTCATGCTGCTGTATGTGAGAATGGATAGCAGCACTAAAATGTCAGAAGATCATGTGTGATGATTCCTGGATCTATTGTCTTTCTAGGCTCAACTTTTTCCACGATGTCCCTGATTTCCGGGTTCTTGCTTGTGGAGGTGATGGCACAGTGGGCTGGATCCTCGACTGTATAGGTAATTAGATTCTAACTTATGAAAAAGTTAGAATCTAACTAATACTTTGCTTTGATAGGAGTTTATCTGCATTCTTAACCAGATTTTATGTTTTTTAAAGGCAGCTGTAGGTCAGAACACATGTCAAAGCATTTTTGACCAATATAGTGAACCCTGAGTTACCTAGAGTGTATGTGAATGTTAGAATGTGCTTTAGCATAGATAAAAGCACCGTGTGAATGTGATTTGGTGGATGAAACATATTGTAGAGCACCAGTCCACATATATTTTCTGTTATTAATAAAAGTAAAGATGGAATGTGGCTGAAAGAGCAGAAAAATAAAGGTGAACATTAAATATTTTAGCTGAAAAATGAATTGTAAACATCTGTTTAAAGACCAGCTCTGAAGTTCCACAGTTCCTGCAATCACGCATAGTTTTTTCCACTGTGAGGAATTATTACTCTCTACTTTATTCTAGCTGAGTACAAATGTAGGTTTAGCAGTAATTAATCAGTAATAAATTCAGTTAGAATTCTCATTCATATATTGTCATAAAAATCTGTTTCAAGAACATTTCCACATCCATAGCACGAGATCGATCTGCTTGTCTGTGCCCTTGCAGATAAGGCCAACTTTGCCAGGCACCCTCCGGTGGCCATTCTTCCTTTGGGCACAGGGAATGACCTGGCTCGCTGCTTACGCTGGGGAGGAGGTGAGGAGCTCATTCCAGCATCTTTCTGTATTTTCTTTACATAGCTGCATAGGCATCTATAAAGCCTGCAAGAACTGATGCCATAGCTGATCTTTTTGGAAACTTTGTGGCAAAGAGAAACAAGCTGAAAACACTGATAAGATTTTGTGAGCCTGTTAGTTAATGGAGTTAATGTAGCACCATACTTATTCATAATCATTTGTGTTTGTGGTCACCTGATGAGTTTAAGTCCTCTTTAATTCAGTTTTTTTGGTGTTCACCAACTCTTCAGAGGAATATCTGTGTTTCTGCTTACTAAAGCTGCCTTCCACAGTCAAAAAAGACTTCTGATATCACTGGGAAAAAGCATCAATATTGGAGCTGTACAGCTAAGCAGTAAGGAGAAATTGGCTATAAAGAGGGAGCCACAGAGGACAGCTTTCACTTTTTTTCTGCCTTTGTGAGTCTCTGTTCTGTCCCGATTAGTTTCACATTACCAAGTCCGCTGTCACTTTCTATAGCTACGCTTCAGCCTGATTGCCTGTTTGCTTTTCAGTGTTCTTTCCTAAAACTCTGCGTGTTTATACCAATCACTGTTGTCTCCCTCTGGTTGCTGAATTACTTTCTCCTGGACATTCCCGCCTGCTCTCTTTTGTTCTTCTCATATCAGCTTCATTTTTCACCTCTGTCTGCCTTACATGCCTCATGTCTTCTGTATTTAGATACTCATTTTTGAATTGAACATAATAGAGCACGTTTAAACAGTTAATTTAAAGAATGACTCACTTCTCAAATACAAAAGGTAGCCATGTGTCTCTGCACATTTCTGGGAAATGAAAGATGGGAAGAGAAACAGGGGACTTTTATGTGTCAAATTAAAAACTTAATATGCAAATCACTTGCACACGCTGTAAGTCCTTTGCCAACCATTGATTTCTCGTAGTACTTGGGACCAGTAATTACACTGGCTGGTTATAACTGCTCGATTGTTGCTGCGAGGACCAGCAGAGCACTTGAAAGATATTTTGTCAATAAGCTTCCAGGTCTGGGTGGCTTTGGGCTGTTGAACTGATCATCAGAGATAAACTCTGAAATATTAGCTGCAGCCAATTAGCTTGATGATCATTTACCTGAGAGGGAAAATGAATCTAGTCTGATTTGTATGTGAAGGTGAGCAGCCAGTTTTGATTCATGGCTCTGCAGTCTGTTTTAGTCAGATGTTCATCAACTAACAAAAAAATCTATCGAACAGCTTTCAGATGTATCACCACTCAATCTAATTCATGATCTCTAGAGCATGAATCCCAAAGATATAGGCCTTGTTGAATTTTAGTTTAATTACTGTTTTTTTGTGGAATATCTTGACAATAATTTGAAGGATTGTCATAAAAGTTGGTAGAGATATTTGCCGAGCAAAGCTTTTCTCTTAACCCATGAGACATGACTGACTTGATCATTTACCATTTGGCAAGTACTGGAATAGAAACACATTATACATTAATTCTTACACTGATTGTATTTGTGAAAGTTAGTGCTAATAATAATAATAATGATAATGTGAAAGGAACTTACGTGAATTGCAGTGAAGATGGAACACAGGGCGAAAATGTAGGACATTGGTGAAAGATAAGGCAAATTTTACTTTAAAAATAACACATAATGCAGTGAACACATGAACACTTAATTTCCTCTATTGGTGTCAGTGGATTTTTGTAATCATTTACACAAATATCAGGATGTATCGTACGTGATTGTCTTTCATTATGTAAGGTAACTCAGCACTGACATACCATTAGTGTCTCTGGATGGTTTCATGAGTTACTCTTTGTAACGCTTTCATTCAACCTTTAGGATAGACTGTAATAACTTCCCTTATTCCATTATCAGGGGAAAAAAATCCTTTTATCCAATACAGCCTGATTTCAATAAATACCAGCAAAACTATTGCATCAATCTTGGTTGCACTTTGTGCTTAAGGTTAATTTCCAAGTATTCATATATGCTAACACTCAAGTACAGGCTTGCAGTCTTCTAAGGTTGTGCACAGATGGCGTAATGACAAAAACATGTATCAATTTGTGTAGACGATGTGTGTATTTGTGTGTGTACCTGTGCAAACACCACAAAATGAATAAATAAATACAGCTAAAAAGTAGCTAATTGTTCATGTAAAAAGACAACTGTTCCCCGTGAATTTTCTTTTATTTCTCAAGAGTACAAATGTGAGAACATATGCATATGCAAAATACTCTCATATTTCACACACATGATTCTCCCAGTGTGATGGCACTCATTAAAGCCTCATGCCCTTGTGACACCTTTGGAACAAACATCTGCTTCTTATTACTATGCCTGGCTGTTAAAGCAGGCTGTCAGCTATGGAGCAAATCCAGAGGGCTTCCCGGAGGGCTGTCAGGTCTGGGCTTCATTCTGGGTTTGAAGCAAGGAGGGTAGTTTCTTTGGAAAGGCAGCTTAATCAGTTTCATTGTGTTCCATATTTGAGCTCGTATAGTGTAATTTGCCTGTTACATGTGGAGATTATGATTTAAAAATGATGAAATATAGAGAACGACTTTTCTCTGCCAGATTTTGCTCACGCTACGCTTGACTGATTGATTTTTTTCATGTGATTCCTGATTGATTCCAAGTTTCTAGCTTTATACTGTTTAGCGGGATAAAAGTGGCTGCAGTTCAGGAGGTAGAGCTGGTTATCTGCTAATCAGAAGGTTGATGATTTGAACCCTGGTTGCTCCAGTCTGCACTATAAATATCCCCAAGTTGCTCTCTGATGCATCCATTGGAGTATAAATGCATCTGAATGTAAGATAGAAAGCACTTATTTAAGAAAAGCATAGAAAAAAGTGCTGGAGTAAAATGGTAAATATGGCATGTTGTATAAAGTGCTTTGAATGCTCCAGTAGAGTAGAAAAGCTCGATATAAGAACCAGGCCTCTTCCTGTTAAAAAGTGGTCTCTACTTTAACATATAATAAAGCGCCTCGAGGCAACTGTTGTTGTGATTTGATATAAATAACCTTGAATTGAAGTAAATTGAATTCTCTGGTTGTTCTCGGCAGGTTATGAGGGTGGTAGCTTGGTGAAGGTCCTTCGGGACATTGAGCATAGCACTGAGGTGGTGTTGGACCGCTGGAATATAGACATCATCCCTGACGACAAGGAGGAGAAGGGAGATCCTGTTCCCTACAGCATCGTCAACAACTACTTCTCTATTGGAGTGGTAAGTAAACTGAGAGAAAGATAACATTGCATATGTTTTAAAGAGCCACATTATCCTTTCTTCCTGTTTCTGTCATATGTCATTCTACTATGTCAGACAGTTGCCAACGTTTTAAAAAATAAGGTGAACTTAATCTGTGTGAGCCAAAAGCTCAGATTTCTGAGTTACATTTTGTTTTCTTTCTTTCATTTGCCTGAGGTACAGCTGATGCATGCTGGGTTTTGGAGTGACCAGAAAAAACCACATTTGCATATTTGGACAAAATAGTGAAGAGCTAATCATCTAACAGTAGATAGTTTGGTAAAGCAACAGAACTGAAAGACAGACTCCTGTAAACATGTTTTTCAATGTTGTGAAGTTGAGCATTTCTACATGGAAATCTTTTTGCTTTTGGAACTGCAGTTTTAGAAAATCCAGTTTGGATTCATTTTTTAGCCAGTTGTGTCTTGTTTCTAAAATGACATGAGCAAAAACAGGCTTATTTTATACAGAAATAAAAGAATAAAGAAAAAGTTTAAGATAAATGCATTTCAGATTTAAAAAATGTTACTTTATTGTATGCACAAAATACAGCTTTATTGCTGAGGACTGAAAAACCAAAACCAAAACTGGGAAAATGAGACGAACTATACTGGAAGCACTAAATACACGGAGAAATGCACACAACTATGAGGGAGACGCTGACATAAATACGCAGAAGGATAACGAGGGAAGTGAGGAAACACGGGGAATACAGCTGACACAAATTAACATGACGCCACAGGGGAAGCAAAACAAGATACGTGGAACACGGAAACACAAGACCTTCACAATAAAACAGGAAACTGGAGAACATGACACAGGAGTGGAGGAGAGGCAGACCAGAGGGAGCGAGGGAATGCGAAGGAGCACAAGGAAGAGAGAGAGGAGACGACTGGGGAAACATGGATAAACATGGAATAAGCCACAAGGAGGGGAAACAAGGCACAAGAACTCATACAAACACATAAACACAGATGCACAGAGGGCAAAGACACAAGGGGAAATTACTAAATGATCAAGGAACTAAACGGGGCCCATACGAAACTCAAAACAGGATAACCTGGCACTATGGAAATAAACTTAAGACTAGCAAGGAGAACTTATACATAGATTATAATACAGGAAAACTCACAACGCTGGGTCAAATGACCATGACAGTTCATATTCCGTGATCTAATTCCATATAAGACAATATTTCATTTGTTTGGAATTTTGAATTCCAGTTCTTTGTATTGTGAAATAAAGTCCTTCAATTTTTCGAGTAGTTATTACAGTAAAAACATGGTGAAAGAGATTATTTGATCTATGAGGACATGAGCAATTAGGAGATTCATCAGTGAATTTCTGCATCCTCTGGGCAAGAAACACGTTGCCAGGTACCAGTTGCTTAGCAACTTTTTTATCTTGTCCTCATGGAGATAATATGCGGGCCTCTGGGACATTTATACAGAGGTGACAAACAAGACCTTCATAAAGTAATCACAGGGCAGCACCACTCATTTAGCCTCAGTGTATTAAAATAATTGATGTGTCACCACCACAACTCTGTATATCTCCATAGCCGTCGTGATGTTATAAAGAAAACCTAAAGCAACCATTTTCACTCATTCTAATCTTACTAGTTACTATTAAAAAATAATAATATGAGGCTAGGGTGTAATCATTAACTCCATTCCTATCAGCTAATAGTCATGAGATTAGCAGTGCAGTGTATACGACTATAAATAAACCCAAGTGAGATAAGTGTACAGAGGGCATATGTAGACATTTGAGGAGGAGCACTGACAGGGAGCAGATAGACCACAGTGATTTTATACAACTGAAATCCTACTGCTAGCTACATATTTATCAATATGGATGTGTGAGCGTAATACTGCACAGTGAAAGTGGCACACACATCTATACTTCTGTGGTTAGAGTTTGTAAAACTGCACTTTGACAAATCTACAAGCAACAACTCGTTGTATTCAAAAATGGGAGAAGAGGCAGTGACAGGATAGAGCCGTTTCCTTTGTGGCCTGAGTGACACCACGAGTGTCTCACACAGGGAGAGACAATAGTATTTGACAGGCCTGTCTTGGTGTGGTGACTGACGCTTTTTGGCAAATTTTGTCTCTCACATTTTCACATTCAGTAATTTGTGCATCTCTGTTTCACAGAGTTTTTACGTTCATTCATGAAGAATATTTCAACCTGCATGTTACATTGATGGCTGTAGTTACATTTTATACACAAAGCGCTGCATCAAGCTGCAGCTTATATTTCTTTTGACCTGATCTCCCATTGTTTAAGCCATCGTGGACAGTAGTTACTGCTGGCTGTGGCAGGTGCAATGCCGACACTTCTGACTGTCTCGTCATAGGTCAGAGCGTTCTCATTCCAGAGGTGGAAAAAAATGCTGATTTTTCAAAACTGCTTGTGTGTCTCAGTTACTTCCAAGGTGTCCTTTAGTGGCAATGTGTGTGAGAGAGCACAGCAACATTGTTACAGTACAGTTTTTCAGTCAGTCTCTTCACCTTTGGACTCATTAACAGTATAGACTGTATATAAAATATCCGGTATCCAACTAATCAAACGTTACAGTTTCAAAAGTCACCAAAACCAAAAGATAAGCTTCTTGGATGAACTATGTTTCACAACAATGGGCCATATATCTTGTCCGATCATTTAATTACGATGCTGTAAAAAATACTAGATCTGCAAATGCAGGCAAGTGAAAGCAGTGAGTTCAGTTCGATAACTCAAACTGAGGTCTAGCAGACAGCTGCCTGTGTCAGCACATCTAGTAGTCAGAGTGGCTATGCGCCTAACTTTAAGTCTCATCAGTATCCAAATGGATGAGTTATAAAATTTATAGCTGTTATGAAAGGGAGTTCATCAAGAAATAATGGACTATAAAGATTATTTTTATTAAGTTGGACATTTTAACATGAGAGTCTATGGGGTTGACCTGCTTTTAGGGACACCCTCAAGTGTCAACTTGAGGAACTGCAGTTTGTGACTTTTAATTATTGACTTACTTTTTGGGATGATCTGATATCCTCGTGTTGGTGTTGTTCCCAGATCATCATGAAAATGTTGTTCCAGGTTCAACATTGCAAGTGACCAATCACATTGTTGTGACGTTATTCTTTTGCGCGCCAAGCCATTCGTGCATTTATGAAATTCCAATGTTGCAAGGACAATATCAATTCTGCTTACTGTTTATTAAAGGGTTACGGTTAGGGTTAGGGTCAGGGTCCGTTGATCGGCGGACAGAGGCGGTTTCTCGCAGCTTAAGTACAGTTTTTTGTTTTACGCCGGTTTTTCCCGAAGTCGCAAAAGTATGACGTCACAACATTCTGATTGGTCACTTGCAATGTTGATCCTGGAACAACATTTAGTATGATGATCTGGGAACAACACCAACACGAGGATATCAGATCGTGCTACTTTTTGCCTCTGACACTTGTTTTTTGTTTTGTTTTTATTTTAATTTCTACTCTCTTAAAAAACCATAAATAAAATCCACATTGAGCTATACATTTGTGATCAATGTCTAAAGCTGTAAATGGGACTGATTACATTAGGGCTGGGAGCGAAATGGTGAGTGAAAAATAACAACTCTTAACCTCTCATGGGATTTGTTGACAGTAATAAAGCTACAGAATAACTCCATGGTTATGCTCTAAAGGAAAGGTTATCTGTGCGAGTCTCTGAGAACGCTCCAGCATAGCACAGCCATTAAAATAAAGCAACAGATCGCTGTGCCTCCAGGAGCCATAGTGACAGATGGCTGAGTATCTGTGTGCACACGACACCTGAGCAAACCAAATCTGACTCACACCAATGATGCAGCCATTAGTAAGACCTTAAATCTGCTTTAACAACCATACAAGGTTTGCATTTCCTGCTATCTTATTGCAGACCTTTCTACTCAGGGTTGGGTTGCCATGGAGATGGGAGGCTGGCAAGGCCGAATCTGAAAGCTTTCACAGTCATCTGTCCTTTATCTCGCTGACTTAATTGTGGATGACATAGTGTGGAGCATGTGGCTGGCTCGGTCAAGGCACTTGGAGCTGTTGAGCAGAAGGTATAAGATGATTTTGTGATTTTAAATGACATAACACTTTATTTTGTACTGGTAGGAAATTTTTCAAGTTGCATAGTTCCACAGGAAATAGTTTTATAATTGAGAAAAAACCACAAAGCTGTGTGTATCATAAGGATTAAATCAATTCAAACACTGTAGCTTTGACAGCAGCACCTTGCTGTTGCCGCATTGAGCAGTGAGCTCACTGTGGGGGCTGACAGTATTACATTAGGCAGAGAGGATCACAGTAAGAACATCAGTAAGAACAATAGCAGCTCCATATATCTCTGCACTGTTGCATTTTACAGCTCCATCACTTACAGCACCTCTGTTTCTGTGTACATTTTAAAATCTGGACTTAATCAGTGAACGGAATTAATTGGCAGTTATTGAAATAATATATAATGCAACTGGTCACACATTTGTCCACGTAGCTGAAATTGAACTAAACTTGAAAGCATATTTACAACTTTGCCAAAACAATGCTAAAACTTGGTCAAAGTGAGAAAGGAAAAATCTTCTTCCATCTCTCCTGAAAAGACATGCAGAGAAAGAAGTTGTTGTATAATTGATTGAAAAAATACACTTCCTTTTCCAACCTTCTCAGATTTGCACCCACACCATTCACGCCGTGTGGTGTCCTTGCGTACCACTGGACCATCTATATATAATATATATA